GCCTTGAATCCTTTAACCCGAATTGAACATTAAAATAAATAGAGAATTCCCCACATATTTTCTTAACTTTTGGCAATGACTCTAACTCACCTTTGAGGTTGCGTGGTGCAGGAGGTAGTACCATCTTCGCTGATGGCGCTTCCCTTCCGAGCACGGTTCGCAGGTACGACCTCTTGTTGTCGTACGAAATCGCAGAGGGTTTGTCCAATTTTGCAAGATTTTCAGCAGCAGACCACAACGTTTAATCTGAAACGAGAGGTAAGGCGGGGTATTAGTACAGGGAGGCAAGGAATGGAGCAAAGGTTAAATTCTGGCACTCTTTACAAGAGGGATTGGCTTGGACTGGGGCAGAGGCATGGGCAGGGGAGGGTGAAATTTCCACCCACTTATGTTCGTTGCTGGGTACCGACGTCTAAAATATCGCTTACAGCTGGGTGGAGGAGGAAGCGCCGCCGTCTCCAGGAGGCCGAGGTGTGCGCTTTCCATGAATCACTATTTTCGATTGCAATACGTTCGTCACTGGCTCTGCCGTTCCACTCTATTCTGTTCTGTCGCGAGGGATATGTGCGTATGTGCGGTACGCTGGCTATACATACATATTTATGTACATTTCATTCGGGACAGGAAGCATATGCAGCGACTATGATGTCATGGTTCCACGCCGCTCCTTCCGGAAGTCCTTTGCTCGACGGGATCGTGCTCGAGTTAGGGATTCGGGACCGGGATCTGGACTGGGTCTAGAGCTCGCACTGCGACTGTCGGACCGCTCGCATTGAGGATTTCAGTTTGGGATTGTGGTGTTCAAAGGTAATTCGAGTTAGCAGGCTTTCATATTACGGCACGGGGGATGGGTAAGTCTTTTGGGAGATACTGTCGCCGCCACAAGGGGGGTCAATTGCATTGAACGCGTGCGAGAGTCAGCGGAAAATTAAAGTTATTTCGCCAGAAATTCCCTTTACTTTCACAAAAAATTTTACAAAGCAACTGGGTTTACTTGTGTTCGTGATCTATCGATAGCGCATATTGTTACACAAGTGTTATCGACGGTGATGCCACCCAAGTTGCCAGTTTGCCTAATATATATGTTATGCACTAACAGAAATGTTACCCGGCCTCTGTTATGCTGGACAGTAGACCGTTACTTTTGAATTGTAAAGATTACTACATAACCTTTAAGCTTTAAGCAACTTACATTTATACGCCACAAAATATTCAAAACTTGTCAGCCATATTACCAATAGGAACAGTAAGAACAACCCCTATTAACGAAGTATAAAAGAAGGTCAGAATCAGAGGGAACGCTACAGTCGAGATATTCGTTTTTCTTTTGTTTTTACCCTAAAGCGAAAGGTAAGGTAGTCTCCGATTTTGGTAATAGATAAAAATATGTTTTTAAATAAGGTTTTCTGCAATTCGGTAATTTATTAATTATAACTAACTTCTCTGAATGATTTTTGAGATACATATAAATATAGAATTTAAATATACATGCACTAATAGTTTTTAATTATTTTAATAAATAGGAAAGCTATAAGTGCACGATATTTTTAAACATGAACAATAAATCAAAATCACTTTTTACAAAACCCTACACTTAACCATTTCCAGTTTCATAAGTTTATGTACATTAAGTACTACACTAAATCTGCATATTTTGTAATCGCTAGAATAAATTAAATTAAAACAAATAGTTTTATATTTTTTTTAGTTTATGAGCAAGATCCTTTACTTTTGATCGTCACACCTGAAATAGAAACATAATGATTTATATTATACACATAAAAGGCATGAAACTCTTACTTATATTGAGGCATGACGAATAGCACTGCATTTGGGTCTCGCCCGTGTACATATATCCGTCGGATCCACAAATTATTTCATCGTTTTCATCGTACACATTAGCGCATATCTTCTCACAGTAGCTCTCCGTGTCCTTTGGATTATCCAGAGTAGCTGAACTCGTCCCAGTGGGAACCTTCGGATCCTCTTGCTGAAATTGGCAAGAACAAATTCTCAGAAAAAAGATTTGATCTCCTTAGGTAGACTTCAATGAGTCAAAAAATCGTTGTAGCTAGAGATGATTCTACCACGCTTTTTTATAGTTCCTTTTAAGCTTAATTGGTTATAAAAGTAGAAAATATATTTTATTCAAAGATTTAAAGAAGTTGTCGGTATATATTTAAGTCAGTCACCAGTTAACGAAAATCTAATAATCATTTTATTAAAATGAAGCACTCCCTGCTCTTTTCGCTATAAAACGTTAATATGATTTTTGGAGACTTCAGTATCGTACTAGTAAATAGCTAACACTACTACTAGTAGCTAAAATGCCTTTAAGATTGGAGGGCTTGGCAGGGCTACTTATTATAAAGATGAGCGACTATACGTATCTCTTAGCTTATATATGTATAATAATTGCGGTTTTCACATTTATTAATAAACAAAACCTACCTGTTTTCCAATTTCAGTATCAGCACTATCCTCTGGGTCGTCGGTGTATTCCTTGATGGGCTTGCTAAGCTCGATCTTCGGGGCAGGAGATTTCGCGGGTTCGCGGGGAGCTTGGGCCACGGTTTCGTAGTAGTACTGATTGGCTTGCGGGGCTTGGGTATACTTCATGGACCCCCTGATGGCATCCTGCTCGGTGAACTCGAATCGCAGGGGCTCCGGGGTAAAGCTCTTGTGGCTCTTGGCGAGGTGCTGGCTCTTCGGCGGCGTTTGAGTAGTGGTCTGGACTGCCATGGGAGTGGAGACCACATGCTTCACAGCTTTGTTACCGTCGGACTTGACCACGAAAACATCCTGACCTGCTTGGTAACTGCCGCGAACCACAGCGGAATTTGCAGGAGCGGGATCTTGCTGGTAGAACAAATCGGACACTTGTATGGGCTCATTGTAACTGGAGGAAACTGAGTTGTCTAGGCCAGCAGTTTTATAGGGAGCATGTTGTGGCAACGCTTGAAGCTGCTGGGGCTGATGTCGCTGCGGTTGCTGGTGCTGCGGTTGCTGGTGCTGCTGATACAGCTGCTGCTGCTGACTGTATTGCTGTGGATATTGATTGAGGAGCTTCTGCTGGTCCCGCTCGGAGTCCAGCTTCTTGAAATCAGGATCCCTTTTGGGCAGGAAGTATTCGTTGGTACTCATGAATTGCAGGTAGTCCTGGGCCTCCCTGGACTCCTTGGCAGGTGGCACTGCCTGGCGAAAGTTCAGTGGCTGGTTGACTTCCTGCTTCGCGGGAATATCGGTATCCTCGTAGACAGAGTAGCTATTGGGATCCTGGGGGAAATGGCTGTTTTGGAGAGCAGTTTGCTGGGAGGGGACCACACTGAAACTGGGAGATCCCTGCTGTCCGAAAGGCTTGGGATAGTGCAGGTACTGGGAGGCCTGGACGGGAATCGCGTGCTGCTGGATGGGTGCGTACACTGGCTTGTGGTCCTTCATGATCACATTGCCATTAAAGCGCGGCGAGGACTTGAAGTTCTGGATGTACTGCTCGGAGACAAACTGTGGTGGAAACTGGTTCTTGCCCACATCCAGCACCGGAGCGTCCTTCACGTGGGCGAATCTGCCCTGCTGATTTTGGTCGAATTGGTACCTCCTGAGCTGGTCGTTCGGAGGAAAGTTCCCGAACTGCTCGCGGCGCATGATGTGTTGGGCGGTGGCAGCTGGCGGAGACCTCATGAAGTTGTGTTGGCTACCAGGAAGCATGGGCAGGTTATCCGATCGCGATCTTATCCGGGGCAGTAGTCCGGGACCCGGGGGCCGATTGTGGTTGAAATGGGGCTGGGGCTCAATCAGAAACTGCCTTATGCGCGCTTGTCTCATATCATTCTCACCACACTGCACTTGGTTGATTAGGAAAACTATCAGAAGTAGTGCCTCCAAAATGGGGGCCAATTTAAGCGGACACTGAGTCATTTTTAAAGCTCGTCTTCGTTCCACGACGGTCTATTGGTATTTGACATTTGTCAGTTCCGCGGCCAAAAGCAAAAAAGTTTCTTTCGAATTAATCACGCATACATGCGAAGCTTCTTTTCCATTCGACTATCCACGATCTCGCAGACTTGATCTCACTTTCTTTGTTATCCGGCCAGTCGTTTAAATAAAAATGGAACGCCTCGCGGCACTGCAGCCAAATACAATGTCGTGGCCTCGTCTTTGGGCCCAGATGCAGCTATCTATATCTATTTAAAACCGAGTTTGTTCATCATCAGCTTTACATGGGTACATTTTTTAGAGCCTGTTGTTCCAACGCGGCAGCACCGTTAATCAATCCAATCGAGGGTTTCGAGCATCCACATCCATCCGATTACTTTCTTCTTGAATTTCGGCGGTGTCGTCGGTTGGAAAGCAACTGAGTGGCAAATGGAACGTTTCTGAACCAGCTGTGCTGGAATTCAGAGTGTCGGAATGGCCACTAAACCAGTTTTGAGATGCTGCCTCTGCCACAGAGGAGATGTGGATGTGAATGTGGATGTGGTGGCCACCGAGAGATCCCCGAGAGATCATATCGCACTCGTCGCGACTCGAAGATGAAGCACTCGAGCCTCGAGGCACTGTGACATCCAGATGCGACAGAACTATTTGCCAGGTATACTCGAACTCTTTAATTTGGGTATCTTGAGTGCAGGTGAAAGTAAATCGGAGATGAGATCTTTTGGAGACCTATGCGTAATTGGTTCGGAGTTCCTCAAACTTCAAAGATTAATTTGCTTATACAGAATATCAGATGGCTGGATAAGAGATTTGGGAATGCAGGGTTATTTACCTCATGTAAAAGTGAAAATGTTTTTAATTATAGATACTGGGATAATGGGTACAACTTTCGCTTTTGTCGTCAATTTGGCACTTTTTCGAGAGAACAAGCCATGAAAACGATCATTTTGATCATTGTTATGCAAATCGCTCGAAACTGTAATCATTCCTTAATGTATTCATTCATAAAAGCCCTGTTATTCCAGCTTGGTTTCAAAGTTTTGCATATAAAGTTTCTCAGATTCTTTTGTAGCCAGTAGGTATGTGAAGATGGAAAAGTGCAACGTTTCTTTCTCAACGTATTACCATTTTATAAATAAATACAACTGTTCGGTAATAATACAACTCAGTTGGTTTATTCATTAATATGAGATGTGGTGGAAATAATTAAATCTCCTCTGTGCTGACACATTTGAATTTAGACAGTCATGTCACTTAATCAACTAAGTACACAAACTTTAGGTCTTAAATTAGTTTTACAAAAAGTTGTGCTCGTTACCTTGCGCTCTCCCTCAACGCCTTTGGTTTAAACTACAAATGTTGAAATGGCTTCCTTCTTAAATACAAGTCTCCTCGTTTTCACTCCAAATATCTTTCTCAACTTTGGGCTCCTCGCAAACTGTGTGGCTGTTTTCCAGCACGATGACAATGTCAGTGGTGCTCAGGACTGTAGAGTCCGCATTCTGAAAGTGCAAGGTCCAAGGTTCAAGGTTAATATAGTACATGCAGGTGGAAAAAGAATGTATTTAATAAACTCGGACAATCACATACGAGCACTTTAACTCGTCCGACATGCAACGTAAGGAAAAGTTATGTTCCCATAGGAATTCGTGTAAACAAAGCCAAATCAACCTAAACGAGGATGGAGCCGGAATACTAAGCAACTTTAGCATTGGGAATTACAAGGATACACAAATTGACGCAGAGTGAAATACATTTTTAATTTGATTTACACACTTAGTTATCTTTGAGCTCTGAGAGTCCGGGGAGACGGAAAAGTTTTTAAATAACTTTGGGATTTCCGGTTCAAAAGAATCTCTATCACTGTAACTAAGTGTGTAACTAAGGGTGTGCTCTAAATTTATGCTAATGTACTATACTATTCTAGCTACTATGAATACTTATGCTATTGGTTTATTTAATTACTTTTGGTAGCGGGAGACTGTAGGTTTTCTTTATCAACAGCCTATTTGCAGATAGGGAGTCCGTTTCGAACTTATTTGGATGCCGGCTGGCTCTAACGTGAACCTAAGGGATAATTTGAGTTAGAATAACCAATTTTTAAGGGAATGTGTTCTTAAGTAACTTACAGAATGAACGCGGTCGTAGGCTGAGCTTTCCCGGAAACTGGAGTGATCTCTCGCGAATCCACTATTGTAATATGCGCCCACGGCTTTTCCGCAGAGGAGTTCCCTGAACGCAACCCTATAGCGACGTGACATCACACTGTATACTATTGGGTTTACGGTGCTGTCAAAACAAATCAGTTAGGATGCAGCTTACTTAACCCTTGGGCATTTACCATGAAACGTAGTACGCGAATCCTGCAATCGAGAAGAGTGCTTCGTTGATATCCAAATAATTGTCCATATTGGTGGCATACAAGAATATTAGTCTTTGCAGGTGGAACGGAAACCAGCACACGAAAAATGTTATCACCACAGCGGCTATACTGATTAAAAGGGACGTTATTGGTCGATTCGATTAGAATTGTTTGCAAAATAACTCACCCAACATTCGAATTACCGTCTTCTTTTTCATTTGGGAGTTTCTCGTTTCTCTGTTGTTGGTGCCATGTTGAACACCTGGAATACATTCCTTAGGTCGGATCTTTTGGGGTCAATAGAAGTGAGGTACTTGCCCAATTTTTGGTTTGTTCGAGATCGAATCTTGGCTCCCATTCGTCCGTAGAGTACTATGATGAGTATCATCGGAATGACAAAGAATATGCAAAAGGATACTTCAAACACTGGAATTTCGTTAACTATCTTGATGGACATGGAACAGAATGCCGACTCCTCAATGCGGACTTTATCTGAAAAGCGTAATGAATGCCGTTCATACCCTTTTATATTATTCGGATACTATTCAAAGGGTATAATTCCGCAATTTATGGCTGTTGGGTGGTGAAAATCAAGTCCCTCACAAACAACACTCTAACCACCCATTTCAATCTAATTATAAGGTTTCAGCAACCTGCCAAGCGCCCGTTTTATACTATGATATAGTTTCATACCTAATGGGTAGTTAATGTATTGAATATCCGACAGCAGTCCAAATGGAATGGCGCTTATAAAACTGGCAATCCAAAGAGCTGTTATTATCCGAATCGCGCGCTTGAAGCCAACCATAGCATATAGGTGCAATGGATGGCAAATGGCCAGGAATCTCTCCATGGAAAATGCAACGATGGTGAATACGGAGACATAGGTGCATCTGAAATATACGCGTAGCTGGTATTATGAATGGCTGAAATTTAAGTTAAAAGTGGTTATACTAACGCCTCTGAAATAAATGCGCGTATTTTGCAGAATGGCATGCCGAAGAGGTACGGGTACTGATGCCAGTACAAAAACACTTCTGTTGGTAATCCTAGTTTTATTTAAATAGAAGATTCAGGAAAATACACTTTCTAAGCTGCTCGAATTTTTCTTTAGATTACCTACCGAATAATAGGTACAGCAGATCAGAAACAGCCAAACTGAAGAGATAGTAATTGGTCGCAGTGTGCATTGCCGAGTGGCGAATAATCACAATGCATACTAAGAGATTACCAACGACCCCGGTTATAAATATGCCTCCAAAAATAATTGTTATCTGGAAAAGGTTTAAGCAAAGAGAATGATCGCTTTACAAGACCAAGCATTTTCCAGTTAAGGGAACGAAGTTTAAGCAAGCAAGTTTCTGTACCGATTTAAATAGGTTTTTTAAGCTGTAATAAAGTTTGAGTATAAGAACTTTAATGACGAATGATATTAGTTAATTACTCAGTAAGGCTTAGAACTGATAAAAAAACAAGTTTCTTTTAAGCTTTCATTACAAGTAAAATGTTCAGACCAACTCTAAAAGTCTCACCAAAATTGCCTTGTAAAGTGGTAAGGTCTGTGGACCAAGCACAAAAGCCACAAACTCTTTTGGAGAGCAGTTTAAGGTTCCGCAGGCGTAGTGGACCTCTTCCTCTAATCCGTGGGATGGATCCAAACTAACACTAGTGGTGTATAAATCTGGTGTATTTGTAAAACTTGTGTTTAAATCCGAAAACGTCGAATCGGTCGATGAATTCATTTTAACACAGAGCTAATGGTTTTTGTTTATTTCGTATAAAGTATTTAACGGCCCCCGCTGAACTTAGAGTAACACATGGCACACGACAATTCCCGTTTAAATTTTTATGGATAGCGAAAAATCCGCGATGCGCTATCGGTTAATACAGCCACTGTATCTTTTAGATGGTCACAGATTACTGTCCGCAGTCTACCGCTAAAAAGATAAGAAGGCATGGTTTAGGCTAAATTGTAAATAGACACATACACACGGGCATATATGTACATTATAATATATATGTGGCCAAGTTAAATATATATGTAGACATGGCATGTTCATGCCGCAGAATGAGTAATTAGACCCGTTACTCGTAGGACAAAAGGGTATGCTAGACCCGTTGAATAGAATGTGACAGCCAGAATTAAGTGTTTCCCATAAAGTACTTATATAGTAGATCAGGATCACCAGCAGAATGGATATGGAAATGTCCGCCTGCCTGGCCGTGTATCTGTTCATATGAGATTAATAATGTAGTTGGAAGTAACACGCATTCTGTTAAAGTTTGTTTCAGTAACCTCTGTCCACAAACCCTTAAAAGCTGTTACGCCCGCAATTAAAAAAATGGGTTTTGATTGTTTTTGGTTTAAGAATTTTACCTGCCAATTCTTATATTTCTACTTCGGACTCCCACCAGCTGATTAACGGGTATCTGATAGTCGTGGAACACGATTACAGCGTTCACTCTTGGTCTTGTGTGCTTACGTCAGAAACAACAACAAAATTAATCTTAAATTAGGAGTAGATAAGTAGATCAGAAGTTAAACAAACGAAACACTACGAAATTGGAAAGTTTTCGAAATTCAAGTTAAAGATTTCCTCAGTAAGCTATTATTATTCAAAATACTAAAAAACCACTTATTATCTTAATTTATATGTATTTCAACGTTGTAACATTATGTCGACGATGTCCGGATATCTTCTTAACATAAATTGAAATATCGAGGAGCATAAATTATTAAATCGGGGAGAAGCTGAAAGTCTGCCTCCAAAGATTTTATTACCTCGAAGGCGCAGGCACTTTAATATAATTTAAGAAGCCTGAATAGAACATGGATTATTGTTTGAATTTAAAGATGCCATCTTATCACCTAGCACACACCCCATTACATTTCATTTTGTACGACTTAATTGCTATCAGTTTATTTTGTAGGCTATATTAATCAAGCAATTAGCTGAGCATCTGGAAATTCATGTGTAATACTCTATTAATAAGTTCTCTTTAAGTGCCACCAACAACCTTAAAGTCTTTAGTTAGCACTAAGAGTTAAATTTAAGGTGCCATGCCCACAGGTATTTAGTTATATTGTGGTTGCAGGTGTCGGCAGCAGCATTTTGGCCGGATTTATTAAGCCAGTTTGAATGGGGCTAACAATGGATTACTCATAAATGCGAATACTCGCAACCGGAAAAGTTTGCATGGCTGTTGGCCACAGATTCATCATTATTACGAACATGTCGCCGAGACAAACTGAACTCAGCACATCGAGCCATTTTGGCCTAGCGAAGCGAACTATAGAATTTTACGCACTTGCAAACTTTCAACTAAGTGTGCTCAGTCGTGAATTCAGTTTGACGAAATACGCAATCCGGTAGGCACACGTGTAATTAGGGGGCCAACTTGGGGTGCGACTGTCTAAAGATAGTAATTAATAGCGGTCCTCATTTGGAGTAGCCGTCCAGTACGCACGGTAACCAGAAAACCAGTAAATCAGTCATTCAGCAATTCTGCCTACTTAGACTCAGGTGAGCCAGGCGCCCTCCCTAGCCCCCTAATCCAGTACAGCATCTGGTCATTAGGGACACTTAGTCGGTGACCAAGCCCATCCTCCCCACAAGCTCCTCCGGTGACCCCAGAACGAAGTGCCAGGCCACGTGTTGCTAATTACTTGGGTGCCGAAACCCACAAGATGGCATATATATTCATGTGTGTGCAACAGAAGTCAAGTGTCGCCTCAAGTTGAATATAATTATGTAGGGACATCTGGGAATTTCCATGGTGTTTTGTCCCGAGGCACTTGCTTTTATTGGATTTATTGAGTGCAGATGGAGCAGATGGAATAAGTGAGAAATGTTCCATTATTCAAAGCTTGTGGAAGGGGTACTTGAAGGGGCAAACATAACTCTTGAAGCCAAGCCCATCGTAGATTTCGCATCCTAATTAATAGAACTGCTTCGCAATAAGAACCGCAATGCCAAAGTTCGCCAAACTATGGGAAATTATACATATGTAGTTCTCGATTACGAAAGCTTTTATCGCTGCATACACAAATATTTACGTGTATAAATATTTCTTCCCAGTAGACACCATAGACGTGGCTATTCTGAATTCCTGTGTTCGTGATTTAAGACAAGTGTAAGAACGTAAAAAAGAAATGGGTTCCTGTTTATAACACAAGTGCGACAAATATTAATATTAATTAATATTTAATGAATATTACACTTGGGAGTTACTCCAGTAATAGGTGAGGCTAAAGTATAAAGTATAGGGTACTTTTTGTAAAACTGTTTCGAATTACCTTTTTAAGAGATATGAAGGTGCCTAATTAAGAGTCATCCCTTCTCGTTTACCATTCTAATAGGTATAATTAATTGTCTCGCTTTAGTGTTTTCCTTATCATGGCAACAATGGACTTTTATCTTATCATTAATTAGTGTCATTAATATTTTCTCAACTTTTCTCAAATATTATTCCGAGTAAATGTGCCAAGAAAACGCATTTTTGTATAATTGAAAACTACGTGAAATCTCTTCACTTATTTTCCACTTGCACCTGTAGAAATTCCGAATCCATTCGGTACTGCTTTTGATCCAACACTTGTTAATTGATATCGAGTGTCATCTCGCATTTTTGTAATTAGCGCACGTATTTCAGTTAACAATAAACTACCGACATTGCCGCGCTGGATGCTTGGGCAATGACAGGTGGAAAGCAACTGCCTTAACTGTCCAGATGTCCTTAGCAGTTTCGGGAGTAGGGAATCTCGGCAGGTGAGTGCGCAGGCGTTGAAGCCGAACATCTCGATATTCCGGCCTCGCCAGCGTAACTGCATGTGGGTACTAATTTCGGCTGTACTTGTGGCTTTGTGGCTTTGGGGCAAACCGAAGTGCTTGAGAATGGACGGAATGTGAGCCTAATAAGGATGCAGCTTTCCTCACTGCACTACATTCGAGGCACTTAAGTTCCGGCCAGGTGCCAACGAAAGATAGGTTTTTAAAGGCTTGTTATCCCAATCTTTTGATGAAGAAGTCCTATTCCTTTTCATTATTATCATAGTGGATTGTTCTCGAAATCAAAGCCCCATTTCAGTAAAAGTCTTCGAACATGAACTGAAACGATATTCAGTTTGCTTCAATTATTCGTTGAAAAAACAACAAAATAAAAAAAAAAATATTAAAATGACTTCTATAATACCACCGGGCTCGATCGTTCCGCAGGCCCAAGGCGTGGACGCAGCCATACCCATATGGCTCAAGATAGACTGGAGCCCGGATATAGAGCAGGGCATCTACAAGGACTGGGGAACCTATTACTGTCGCCGGCGCAGGGAAAACCTGGGCATGTACTACTTCGACAAAGCCCTTAGGCTCGGACCTGCAGACTTCACGACTCTATACCGCCGAAGCCAGAGCAAAAGGAAGAATGCCCAGGCAGAGGGGGCACTTAAAGATAGTTTGGAAGCGAAACGTAAGCTTAGTATCGTCCTCATGAAAAGCTGCAATTAGTAGATTGATTTCGGCCACAGGACTATTGAAACTTTTGCAACGGAATGATGCGCCTATTAATTTGGAAGTCTGCGATGCGCTGTATGAACTAAATCGACTTGAATATGCTAAAGCTGAGCTCCACGATAATACTCGTGTCTTTACTGGAAACAAAACCAAAATGTTCGAGCAGCGCCTGGTGGTGGTATGATGGTTTTTAGGGTATTATAGGTGTTTCTCCTGATTTCTGGGGCGCTTCTAGGTAGACGAGAACATTGAAGATGCCTGTGGCCCTGCGATGACTCAGTACATATCGGATAATGAGAAACTTATAGTGCACTTAACGGAGGTACGAAACAAGTACAAGCCAGACACCAGGCCGCTTTGGAAAATTCTGAAAGAACAGGAGAAATGCGACGTCCTAAGCATTCCTGAAATTGAAGTGGGTACTAAGGCGAATTTCCGAAATTTATATTACGTTTATAACCTTTCTTACTAGGAAGAAATGCTTTCTCCCCTCGAAATTGCGAGACGAAGTCGAGCTTTCGATGTATTTAATCAGATGTTTATAGATAGATCTTGGCATGATGTTATATTTCTGAAGCACGTTCGAAAGTAAACCGAGATAGGAATCTTCATAACACTGTTTCTACCATACATCCATCTATTTTAGGAATCCGAACCTGCTCTTGGATCAATGTAAAAACACCACTGAGTACTTACAAACGCTTTCTACAAAGAAATATGACGAGATCAAAAGTTTTCTAGTGGGTTTAATGGGTGGTTCAATAATCAGTACCATCAATGTCTCTCATTCTTAATTTCAGAAAATTCTGGAAGCCCGTAGCCCCATGTACAATATCAGATACCAAAAGTTCACGAACAAAAAGTTAATGGATAAATTTCGCCAGGAATATCTTTATCGAGTTCAGTACCAAACTAGTCGAAATATGATTTCCGCACTGCGTAGTATTCGGTACCTTCGAAAAACCAAGAGTCTAACAGTAAGAATTTTGATTGTATCAATGCAGTCAAACAAAGGAAAAATGAGATTGGTTAAAAACTAATTTCAGAAACTGACCAGTTACGTGGAGGAAGTTATGGGAGATTACGTGGTGAAAAAAACCAACCGGATTATGCCCTGGAAATTCGAGTTCATTAACGAGGTGTACAATATTTTGGCTCTAGCCTACGTGGATCAGTACACGATTCCGAAGAACTTTCGCTATTCGGAAAAGAACTCACTCCTACAATTACTTCGCTTTCCTATGGATAAGTCAAAGGAGGTAAAGCATTTCGTATTTGGGGATCGCACTACG